TATTGTCTAAAGCTGTCCCCGTTAGAAGTAGTGTAATACAAGGTAGTGTCTTAGGCCCTTTGCTCTTTTTAGTGTTTATCAATGACATTTGTGAAAATTTTTGTGTAGGTAAGCCCCTTCTATATGCAGATGATCTTAAACTAGTATATTCATTTTCTCCACATGAGCTGGAAAATATGCAAACTTGCATTAACTTGGAGCTTAACAAGGTAGCACAGTGGTGCTTAAAATCGCAACTGGAACTTAATACGGCTAAATGTGGATGGATATGCTTCGGCGATACATCACTTAACCTAGACCTTACCATAAATGGAGAAATGTTATCTAGGTTACATACAGTAGTAGACTTAGGACTTAGATACTCCTGTAGCGTGGTGTCGAGTTGAGCTTGACTATGAACACCGCTACCAGACTACTTGCCAATAGACCAATAAAATCCCGGTAGGCCAAAATATCAGAAGGCAGATGATTGTAGTAGTCGTATATATTTGTTGGCAATCTCGTGGTATCGAAAGAATACCGAGATCGTGCCAAAGGAGTACAGTTGCGATCGGCAAGATAAGATACGTGCGTAGTCCAAAAACCGCGTAAAAGCAATGGAATACAATGGAAGCCCAAAATGGCTGTTATTAGCACAGTTAAACAAACGAGCACAGTAAAACAGTCACTGGTACAATTGGTTATAATAATAATTGTTTTCATCGAACCAATCGTGTTCTGTTGACAAAAGTAGGTCACTACACTCCCAAGACTTATCGCTTACAGAACAGATATCGAAACAGACCTCCAAGTCACAACGACTAGTAGGTTACATAATTCAAAACCTTCATAACAATGAATCACGAATTTTATGTTCAAAGTTTTTGTTCGACCTCTTCTAGAATATTGCAAGTTTATTCTTAGCAGTGCGCGCATAAAGGATAAATTAAGGCTGGAATCAGTACAGAGACGATTAACACTTCGTATTCTCGGAGCTGATTGTACCTTAAATTATAATTCTAGATGTAAAAAACTAGAGCTAGACCCTTTATGGAAGAGGAGACTCAAACTAAATCTTATTTTTTTCTTCAAACTACTTAATAAACTATCCTTTACATCCAATCATGTAATTCAATACGCAGAAACTCCTCATTATGAAACCCGTAATTCCTTGGCACTTGTGAAACAAACTTATTCTAAATCATCTCTTTATATGAATTACTTTGCCTATAAATTTTCTAGACTCTGGAATAACCTACCAGAACATATCCGTACGATAAAATCACTCCCATTATTTGTACGTTGCATCGATGCATACTGCTCCTCCGAAAATGCATTGAATGCTCTAGCACCTGCAAGTGTATCTCACTCCACAAGTGTTATTATAGGAACTTTAAATGTTTAGGCATTTTTATTAATGCATTCTCTGGATAAAACCACCAACTTGCTGTCACTTTATGTTAATACCGTCCCCAGCTAGTTTAACTAATTTGAATATCATCAACAGTATATCACTGTGTCACATGACATACGCATTTTGATAGATCTGATTGACATATTTCGGTAATTACTGCTTTGTTGTTCCGTGCTCTCTGTTTTCGTTTTAATTTCTCTAGTTGTAGATATTTATCATTAAATCGATCTGGCACACGAAATGACCTTAATTACACCGCTCATAAATCAACAGGCTGTCCAGTTAAGAAATATTACATGTTCCCGGCTGATGCATTGGATCGCTGTAATACCTAAACAATTACTGAACTAGTAAACTTAAAACTCATATCACATGTTTGTTCTGTACATATTATGATATTATTTATATCAAATCGATCATGCCTGTAAACTGGCGTGAATTCTGTAATTATCATTTTTTCGGAATATAAATTATTATTATTATTATTATTATTATTATTATTATTATTATTATTATTATTATTATTATTATTAATACATCCTGTTCTAATCTCTTGGAATGGGCTCTGAGGTTTCTGAATTAATTCTCTTTCTAAATTCGGAATATTTATCCCAACAATCAATCGATTACGAAGTTCAGTTTTTAAATTACCCTTCGTCGTCTGTTTCTGTAGTTCAAGTATATAGTCTTTAACTTCCTGATGATTTCTCACACCATCCTATGAAACTTCAATCTGTCTGGGCATTTAAAACGAGGACACTGGACATGATCAAGTAGTAATTACTTGAGAGATTCACATGGCTATGATATTGGGTTTTCTGGGAAAGCCGAATTCTTGATCAGGTTATGAGCTTCTTTGGCGATCGATTTCAAGAAATAAGCTGCAAAGTCATCTTCTTTAATATCTTTTCTTCAAAGTTATCCCTGATTGCATTAACATCCAACTTTTGAAGATTTGTCTCCGTTGGATGCAATTTTTATAGTTAGAAGTGTTCAAATCAAATGTGCTCACCAAGAATTTTCGAAATAGTGCTATTTAAAACATATAGAACTAGATGAGCTGAAGTGGACGTATTATACTTTAAATTCGTAATCCACGTGCAATCAAGTACAAAAGAATCATTAGTTAGTACAAATACCACAGAATATAAACTATAACGTTTGGAATTCCTAAAGTTCATAATGTCAAAATGATGATATCAAAACAGTGGTTGGGTAGTAAAATAAATGTAGGTTTAAAATGCGAAAATATACAAAATACATACACATTTTCACCTCTAGGTTATATGATCTATGATCTGTAATAAATAGCTTGTACAATCCAACCTTTAACGAGATAAGTGACTCAATAGTTCAAGCACTCGAAATCGATTATTTGTCAAAAAGAAAAAGTGTTCGAGGTAAAATAGGAACCTAGCTCTGCTCAATTCATCACCAGTCACTGAACTTGCGAAATTAAAAGCGTCCTATTCACTTTTTCATTAGAAATTTAAAATATTAGTTCAGATATTAAAGAGGTGCAGAAAAATCCTATCCAGTGAAATATATCACCTATAAGCAGCTAAAAACATCCATCTTGCCATTGTTTTGCATAACTTATAACCTTAAAGTTGCCACAAGTATTCTGAGTTTGAAAACGCCTTGACCAGTAATACCTTTGCAGACGAAGTAGGCTAACCCAGTCAAGTCAGAAGTAAGGAATGAATAAGTCCGAAGATATATTTAAAAAGCTATCGATATGTCGAAAGAACGTTTGATCTTTGCTGGCTAGTAGTTATTAGGAATAAGTAGCACAGCATAACCATTCGTCATCTGGTACGGATGCGTAAGCGAGCGCCTTCAGCTAGGTGAGTCCAGTGAAACTAATGCAGTCAGCATCAAATATAGAAGACTTACAGGGCTATTGATTTCGGGTATGTATTTATCGCTACAAACTATTAGTACGGTTTGAAATCCCTATTTCAGAAATCCAGATTACTTTCGGAGAATATAAATGTCTAAAAAACGGATGCAATAATAAGGAGAATGTGTATGAAAGCTACCAACAAACAAAAGATTACCAGCCTCACTAGTGTAAGATCATATAAAGAGTAACTTAATATCACTCCGAAATTTGTCTTCAATAGCTGAAATAGTAATCCATGAAAAAAAATCATCATTAAACTATCTAACCTTCAAGTGCAGTTTCATTTCAAACACTTAATTAACTTAGCTGTAAAAAATAAGATTCTTTTTGTTTATCTAAAATCAAATGTTAAATTCTAGTGAAACTTTATAACAAACTGAATATCGCTTGTAACTTACTATTATAATTGATGGTCATAGGTAGCAGTCAAATGTATTCCACCTTACAATACCAATTTTAAAAATACGCCCCTTATAATAACTTTTAACCTTTCTAATAGTTGAGACCATGAGTCATTTGAAGCTAGACCACCATGGGAAACTTGGTCGTTTCGTCCTATTGTTGGGTTTCTCAGCAGTACGCATCCACGATCTCGCATTGCGAGGTTTGAACTCGGATCCTATCGGTCTCGCGTGCGAACTCATAAACTCTAGACCACTGAGCTGGCATCTAATTTTAACTAATGTACGAAATTGAGCGACACATCCACCATTGTCATCAGTGAGTTATTATTTCATAACAGACCAGGCTGAACTCCTCTGGTCACTGCTTCTTACTAGGACTTCAGGATATACATCTTGAATCCAGTCACTAGTGAGCATATGCTGATTAATATCAGAAGGGTTTTTTTTGTAGATAATTTAGTAATTTTTAATAGTTGAATACTTTCAAGTTTTCCATGGTGGTCTAACTTCAATTGACTGATGATCTCAACTATTAAAAATTATTATAATATTCACAAAATCCCCTTTTGATCTTAATTATTTATTCATGTACATCTTATTTCCTAGTTTTGTTTAGATAAATCTATTAATAAACAGAAACAAACAAATAAAACAATTACTGACATACATACACACACATGTATATAATTACATTCAATTGTCAATTATATAATTTGAAAATGATCTGTTTTTTTTTATCGATAACTTGTCAAGGTCACAAGAAAATGGCTGACTTAAAAACTAGTACAAATCAGTAAAGAAAGTAATTTCTTTTCACAATCAAAACCATACATAAATGTGAATACATAAAAATCAAAAAAAGAAATTTCACTATTATTTCCATGTAATATTGATAAGAAATAGAATAGTGTATATCATTGTGTTCATCTATGGTTATTATTATTTACTGGAATAGAAAAAAAAAAAACAAACTCAATGAGACTATAATTTATATAGGGACCTTTGAGTAACTCTAGAATAACTTTAAGAATATCCACTTAATAACCATTACAAAATGAAGATTATAAATCTGTATAAAGAATGATAATTATAATTTACAAATGATAATTAAACTTAAGGATTACATTTTAAGTTTTACATTACGAACTGATATTAATTAGCTATAATGTTAAAACTTTAATATAATTATTCAAATAGATAAGTGAATTTCCCGTCAAAATTTAAGATATATTATTATATATCTGATTGGTTTGTTTATAAATTATAGTCTTGTTAATAATATATTCATTATATAAATTTATTCATCATCTTGTATAGATGGTAATGTTTCATTTGTTATATTAGATCCTAATGAACTTAATGATTCACGTTTATCATATAATGATGTTGAACTGCTATTAGATATATTATGTTGTTTTTGATTAATTTTTAATTTACTACCTTGTTTTTGTTTTATTGTTTGAATTGATTTTCGATTATTATCTAATTGTGTATTAATTTGTAATTGACTATCATTTGTTAATTGTTCACTATATTTTCTATATCTAGGAGTGTTATTATTATTATTAGTATTGTTATCTTGTACTAAAAATGATGAATTCATATCATATTCTTGTTCTAATCTAGCTAAACGACGTTTTAATTTTGCTTGACTAGCACCAAATTCACCAATTAATCTAGCTAAACGTGTTGTTAATTGATTTACTGTACCATCAATACGTTGAACACATTGATCAATTGATTCTTGTTGTTCTTGTGCTTTACGTAATACATCTTCATCTAATAAATTATCTTTACGTAAAATATCTTGACCACGTTGCATAAGTATTGTTTTAGTTTCTGGATATTCAGTTAATGCATCCCAAAGATCATCTTTACTAAGACAGAATAAATCAGAATAACCAACAGATCGTACATTTGCTGATCTACGATTACCTGTTTTATTGCCTAAAAGAAATAATTATAAGGAGAAAAAGAAAACACACAAGTAGAAATCAGAATATTTTGTTAGATAATAAACATTGATCAGGTAATTTCATGATTGATCTAGTTCAGATAGTTGCAGTTTGGAGATTTTAGAAATTTGGATTTAAAACTACATAACCGGAGTATTCAAACAAATCACATTGTTATTCACTGTATAGATGCTTAATAACTCTATACATACATAAAAATTTCATTTAAATTTTAAATAATTAGTAAATTGAATTCCCTTGGTGTTGTTTTACTTGTATCTTCTCATTGTTATTTAGGACTTCAATTGATCAGTCTCATGTTGGTATATGTGCATCCTGTGCGGATTGCCTCGATATAGCCTTAAGTCACAAGCTTCTTAAGCAAAGACGGTAGTGGCTAGCAGTGAAATCTAGGACACACGTTTCGTCCTATTTGTAACGCGCCAGCTGAATGTATCTGCATCTCAGAGTTGATGTTCTCTCCGGATGCAGATACATCCAGCTGACAAGTCGCAAATAGGACGAAATGCGTGCTCTGGATTCCACTTCTAACCACTATCCATCTTTGCTTAATTAGTAAATTGTGTTGTAATTCGTGATAGGTAACATTGTATTCTAAGTCGAATATGACTAAAAGGCAAGTCAACTTCTTCAGTAATTCTCATTGTGCAATCTAGAAGTACTATTCATTATCCTATCTAGTTATATCAAATAATTCATGTTATGGGCGGTAAGGAGTTGTATGCTGTTTAACTCTAAATAAAACGAAAGATGAAATGTAATTCATAGCAAACAAACGTATAACAGAACAGTTATGATTCGCAGTAGCAAATATTTTTCAGATGTGAAGATTTTATAATTCGAAGTTTATGTACATCATAGGCTAACTTTAAGTAGCCAAAATATGAAAATTGAGGGAGGATAATAGGCAGCGTTTTTGTCGTAGTGTGATGCTTCCAACCCCGCAGTAGTGGGCTCTCATGATACCACTAACTGATGATGTCGAATCCTTCAAACCTTGAGGTCTGTACATTACATTTGGATAGATGAGTTAGCCTCCAGTAATTCGCATTTCTTATCTCAGTCAATCCATTATATTGTACGAATCGATTGAAGTTAAGAATGTAGATCATTAGATATCGATTCAGTGGTCTAAGGATTAAATGTTTGTCGAGAGACGGCTAAGTAGTACAATACTAGGAGGAAACTGCTGTCTAGTGCTTCTTGGTTTTAATGATTGTCTAACTTAAATCAGTTTGTGATATTGGCAATGTATCTATCCCCTAAAACATTGATGACTGTTTTTTTTATAATATGTCATAGTACTAGTGGGGTGTTACAATAAATAAAAATCCTAAGATATATTTACTGTTGAATATTCTTGATCATATCTTTATTAATTATTAACAATAATCAATAAATTTTCTGAACAGTTATATTTAGACAATAAATTGTATGTTAAAAACTAATAAAGACATAAATTATTGAATAGGAATTCGTTTCCAATTTTCATTATGAGGTTGTGAAAATTGTTGATATTTTGATTGAGATCATGAATTGGTCAATGTTAGAACACTGTTGAAAACCTGGATGCATTGGACGGCCTTTACATGGATGCTCACTGCTCACCAGACCCATACTAGGACGAAATGGCCATATGGTGTTTCCAGGTTTGAAAAGATGGTCTAACATTGGTTGATTCTTTATCTCAATCAAAAACTCAACAATTTCCACAATTCCATACAGCAAATTATCATGTACTCATCAATAATTAGCTTCGAGAGCTAATTCTCGGATTTCTAGTAAGAAGCCATGACCATTAGAGTTTAATCCGTGTAGGATGTGAGGCAGTTATCCACAAAAGATAATGGAAAACAATCAAGCAATTCCGCAGATTGGTTGAAGTGACATATGAACACGGTCAAACGCCGGTTCAGTGGTCTAGATGTTAAGCATTTGTGGGTGAGACCGAAGTTTCTGAGTAAGAGTAGTGCATGCGGGATCGTAAATATGCAATTTTGAGGAGTCCTATACCAGAACGAAACAGCCTCCCAGCACTTTCAGGTCTTTAAAAAAATGTTTGAAGTTCAGTGATATCAGTGTATAGCTATATTTTACCAAGTATGATTGACTGACATTAAATTTCACTGATATGTTTACATACAAAGATTTTTAGAACTAAATGATTATGCTTGCTAGATCATTAAATCAATTAAACCGTATAGTAAGTTTATAAACTTACTTTGACTGCTGTCATAACAAATTGGGATTAAATGAAATGATATAAACTGTGATTATTATATGCTTCATTTTTTCAGAGAGAGGTTAACGGGCGAATCCAAGGTGCATGGTTCATGCTGATATATAATGCGTAAAATTCCATTTACAGGATTGGTTTATTGGTCACTTAAAAATATATAATTAATTTACACTTATTTTAAATGTCAGGTAGATTTCTAAAGAAGCCTAAATGTCAACAGTATTTTGCCTTTAAATGTTTTAATAGGTTTTCTATTGTAATTTGCTTTAATCACATAATTAATGGGTTGTGTCTTTAAACCTGGCTAGTTATCACATGATTTATTCGTCAATCGAAATACGACTTATTCAATCTTAGCACTATGCTAGCTAAACCAATGACGTTCGACCGGTATGAGTAGCTTCGCGTCCTTATTGGTCCTTTGTTCGCCTAGCCTGTTCATCTGAATTCAAAACATCAATAACAGCTTCCACTAAGCGAGTCATTTATTTAAAACATACTCGCTTTATATACCAGCCAAATAGATCGCAATACACGATAAAATAGGAAACGACATTTATACAAGATCAAGCCAACATTTCTCTGTGAACGTGGAAGACTGTAATCAATAAACTGAGTATAATTTAAGAATAGTAAATCGTATCATAATAGTCTGTAGATCAAAGTAAAGCTTATAATAAAAGGAATATAGATATACGTAATCTAGTTACTGAATAGTTATACAATAGGAATATATATAATATTAGTCGATTAATAGTTCTTGAAAGTTACCAGTAATTTAATCTTCACTAGGATATAACATAATGAGTTAACTATCATAAGTAAAAGTTAGATATTAATACTTTCCCAGCAGTAATTAATATAAGGTTTATAAAAAAGAACAATTTATTTTCACTTATCAGATATAATGATATACTTACCAGCTATATTTAATATAGATATTTCACCGAATACAGAACCTTCACCAAGTGTAACAAATACAGTTTTACCATCTTCAGATACTACACTTAATTTACCACGTTTAACTATGTACATTTCTTTGCCAATATCACCTTTTCGACATATATAATCACCTGGTGAAAATACTTGTAATTGAAGTTTAAGTACTAATTCCACTAGAAGACCAGGATCACAATCCTAAAAATAAATAGGACAGAAAAAGAATATGTATATAAACATATTAATGATTTGTATTCAGAAGGGGTATTTTGTGGATATTATAGTAATTTCAATAATTGAGATCATGAGTCAATTGAACCTAGACCATCAAGGAAAACCTGGAAGCACTGGAGGGCCATTTCATCGTATTATGGGACACTTTAGTCGTGCTCATCCACGATCCCGCCTCGCGAGATTCGATTTACTAAATGGAGATGTCGTATTTTTCTGTAATTTATCATATTTTATAATATTTCTATTCTAAGACAATAACTATGAGTAAATATTAGCTGTAGCCTTTTTCATCAATTGCTTTAATGAAGTAATTGAAAGTAGAAAGATATTATACGCTTTAAACTTTAGATCTTGAGATAAACCTTATGAAATTGTATTTAAAGACTGTTTTTGTATGATTCTAAGTATGATCTCAAGTTTAAGAGTAATGTTGTTGAGTTTGTGCAAATGGTAATAATTATACTTACAGTTCGTGTAAACTGACTATTGATTGTTAGTATTTGAGTTAGTTAAATTACTTTGAATAAGTTGACACTGCTATTAATCCATATATATATATATATATATATATATATATATATATATATATATATATATATATATATATATATATATATATATATTCTTATTGTATAACTATTGGTAACTAGATTATGCATATTCATATTCCCTTTATTATAAGCTTTATTTTGACCTATAGATTATTATTATTATTATTATACGATTTATTATTCTTAAGTTATGCCCAGTTTATTAATTACCGTCTCATACAATCACAGCCACTTTCCGGTTTGATTTTGTATAATTGTTATTCTCTATTTTATGGTGTGATGTCGTCCAGTTGATTTATATATAAGCCAAATATGTTTGAAATATATGATTTGCACGGTGGCAGTTGTTGTTGGCGTTATGGACTCAACAGGCAGGGCTAGACATGAAAAGGGTCAATAAGGACAGTAGGTTGGTCATACCGGTCAACATGTCATTGGTCTGGCAGTGTTAAGATTGTATAGGTCGTAATCTGATTGGTGAGCAAATCACGTGATAATTAGCTCGGCAAAAGTCACAATATATATAACATGTAATTTACATAAATTCGCATATGTAGATATGGTTTTAAATAATAATTTGATTTATCTTACATTGTTTCTCTGTATAGTTTATGTATGAATCAGTTTAAGACTCACTGTAGATTACAATATGTTATAATCATTAATGTATTCGAAAAAAGAACACAGAGTGAAAGGGAAAACAAGAAAGTATGGCTTAATGAAAAAATATCTCTTCTATATGAATCGTTCTATTTCTTGTATAGATTATTCATATCAGGTTTGATATATTTCTGTATTAAAAGAAGTAAATTGAGATTAAATCCACTTGGTATTGTTTACTTGAACCTTCCTATTGCTGTTTAGGACCGCAATTGATTAGTCTCTTATTAGCATTTATGCATATTGTACGTATTACCTCAATATTGATTTAATTCACAAGCGTTTAAAGCGAACGGTACTAGGTTTGAGTCTCGGAGCGAACATCAAAACTGAGATGCAGATATATCCAGCTGACGAGTCCCAAATGGGACGAAATGGCGTGCATCCTGGACTTCATTGCTAGCCACTATCCATCTTTGCTTGTAAAGTGAGATTGTTCGCTTGATAAGTTCTACTTCAAACTACTCCATTTTCAAATACTTGTTTCAATTTTGAGAATCAGTTATTCATGTGAAATAGTCAATGCTTTCAGTTTATCATTACATTAAGAAACTACTATTTCTTGGATTTCTCTTCATAATATTTCTAAATAAAATAAGCTTTGTTTTGCTGAAAGTTAAGACAATACCAATTATTAATATTCAGATGTACTATCTCTTAAGGTTATCACACTATGACTTATGTACAATATAAATCAATAAAATTATCGCATGTCTTATAATGTTGGATATCAGAAAACAAGAAATATTAAGTGAAATAACATTTTACTACTGCTAGCATCCTCACCAATGAGTAAATAAACAGGATTCATATTTGACTTCTTATTATCAGCTAATAATTTGGAAACATATTACTGATCAGATTATTAGTTAAACTATGAGAATGAAGATTTTTCTATAGATCGTCATGTAAATTAGTATTTAATGATTAAATTCATGAGTTGATTTAAGCTAGATTACCCTAGAAAACTTGCAAACACTGGAAAGTCGTTTCGTCCTAGTATGGGACTCATCAGCAGTGCGCATCCACGTTCATACACGATTCCACAAACCCTCATTTTGACAGTAATTATCATTTGCTCACTAGTAGTTAGGTTCGAGAGGTAATTCTGAGAGTTCTAGTAAGAAGCCATGACCATTAGAGTCTAATCTATGTCGCGTATGAAACAGTTATCCACAGAAGATAATGGAAAACAGTCACAAAATATCGTGGATTAATTGAAGTTATATATGAACACCGTCGAACGCCAGTTCAGTGATCTGGAGGTTAAGCATTCATATGTGAGACTGAAATTTGTGAGTTAGAGTAGTGTGTGCGAGATGTTCAATAGGATGAAACGTCTGTCCAATGCTTCCTGGTATTCCAAAGTGGTTGATTTTAAATCGACGATTTTCACAAACTCTTCATTCTGACAATAAATTATTATTAATGACCTATCAATGCAAATAACTCAATTCAAGATGAAACCCACTAGTTTAAAGGTTAAACTCTTGTTATGAAACTTGAAGATCCTATATATATATATATATATATATATATATATATATATATATATATATATATACCGGGAAGTTTTATTACTAAGACAAAATATATATTCAATTTCTGTTAGTTTCCAATAGTTCTATAACTAAAAATCCAATCCATAATATAAATTGTAAAATTAGCGATAAATTTTAATTCTTCCCCCCCCCTTTTCAATTTCTTAACCATTTCAAAGTCCAGTAATTTTAAAATTATACAAATAAATAATAATGAGAGTTTCTTTCTTTTTTTTCTTGTTTTGAAAAAAAAACTGAGGAAAATAACAAAAATATTCATGAAAAATTTTTTTCAAAAAATTTTTTTCTCGAAAAAAAACAAACAAACAAAAAATCGATTTTGGAAATATTTCAATTTCGGGATGAATAAACAAATAAATAAACAAAACAGATTTTATGAAAGAATGTTTTTTGTTTTGTTTTTTTTTAGGAAAAAAAAGGAATGACCTTGGTGAACTTTTATTCTTGAATTTAAAAGAACATTTATTATGTATGTATGCTATTTTTTTCTCTTTCATTATAGTACATTAATAAATTGAATTAATAATTGTCAATCAGAGAAGCATAAATAATTAGACCAGTGATATATGAGAAAAAGAAGAAATGTTTTGTTCTCTGAGTTGAATGATTGAATTGAGAAATCGATGATGTTGTTTAGAAGAACAATCAAAACTTCAGGATAAATTGAGATCATGAACTGATTGATGTTAGACCACCATTGAAAATCTGGAAGCACTGGATGACTGTTTCGCCCTATTGTGGGACTCCTCAGCAATGAACTTACACGATTCAACTCGTGGGATTCGAAACCAGGGACTTTAGTCTTGCGCGCAAACGCTTAACCTACTAGACCACTGAGCTGGCTTACATCCAATGGTATTAATGTCTAATCTCAACCAATCCACGAAATTGTGCGACCATCTTCCATGGTACTGAGGTAGATACCTATCTGTACCTGACACGGATTAGCTCCACTGGTCATGGCTTTTCACTAGAATTCCGAGAATTCCTTTACGAAGTCAGTCACTAGTGATCACATGATAGTTATTAATGTAGGAGTTATGGAGATTATAAAGTTTTTTTAATTAAGATCATGAATTGATTGATGTTAGACTAATATTGAAAACCTAACACCAGTCGTTTCATGATCTCAATTAAAAAAAAACAACTTAATAATCTCCACAACCCCTATACTGTTAACTACAAGTGTTTCCTTTATTTCAATGTCAAATATATTATAAAAATATTGTTGAAATTATTTAGTATTGTATCCATGAATATGCCTCTAAGTAGTTAAATGAATATTTCTCAAGTTTTTTCAATTAACAAGTAATTATTTATTTTAATTGAATAATTCATTGAGAACAATGAACTGTATAATAGAAAATTCTAAAGATACTTAACATAAACTCGTTTGTATACATGTTTACTGAGTGTATTACGTGTCTATTCACTAATTATTAGGTAATTTGTTAACATTCATGGTAGGTTTGTAAATACTTATAGGATAATTCTATACTATAGTTAAGATTCTGTAGTATCCCGTTGTTAACATTTAATACTGAATTTTAGTCAATCTTTGTTGACACCTGTAGATTGTAAGTGAATCGTTTCAATATAATCACGTTGCAATAAGTTCCTAAACATTAGAATTATGTTTAACAGTAGAATAAAGGACTCGGGGTTTTGTATTAGGCTATAACAAGACAATAGTAAATATGAACTACCGAATAATATAGACACTTACAGTTGAAATTCTTACCAGTTTAACAAAGTAATGGCTTTTGCAACCTAGCAACGTTGTGAATAACTACTCATTAACATTTTAAATGAAAAACATTCGGTTTAATACTCAGTGAGAACAATAACAGAGGGTTGAAGTTTCATTCAGCTGATAAGTTTCAAATATAGAAATAAAAGAGGATCTTGAATTCCACTTCCATCCAAAATCCTTATATTCTTTACTACCGCGTATTTTTCAAACTATAATATTTGATTGTGAATATTGTAATGGTCTATCAATTTCTCAGGTGGAATGACTTAATAAATTGCCCAATTTACTAATTATGTTTTATTAACAATTATAATCAAGAGCGGGAAAGCAGCAGGACCCGACAATATACCAGCTGAAGCACTGAAGTCAGACATCGAAGTAACGACAAACATGCTTCATCTCCTATTCAAAAAGATTTGGGAGGAGGAACAAGTGCCGATGGACTGGAAGGAAGGACACCTCATCAAGATTCGGAAGAAAGGAGACCTGAGCAAGTGTGAAAACTACAAAGGCATTACACTACTGTCAATACCAGGAAAGGTCTTTAACAGAGTGTTACTAAACAGGATGAAAGACGCAGTAGACGCTCAACTTCGAGATCAACAAGCTGGATTCCGTAAGGACCGGTCGTGCACAGACCAAATTGCGACACTACGGATCATCGTCGAACAACCAATTGAGTGGAGTTCGTAACTATATATCAACTTCATCGGTTATGAAAAGGCATTTGACAATGTAGATAGGAGAACGTTATGGAAACTTCTTCGACACTATGGAGTTCCTGAGAAGATTGTCAATATTATCCGGAACTCATACGATGGACTACAGTGCAAAGTAGTGCATGGAGGACAGCTGACAAACGCATTCCAAGTAAATACCAGAGTCAAACAAGACTGTCTACTCTCTCCCTTCGTCTTTCTTCTGGTGGTTGACTGGATTATGAAGACTTCGACATCTGATGGAAAACACGGCATACAATGGACCACTCAGAACCAATTAGACGATTTAGACTTCGCAGATGACCTAGCCCTCCTATCGCATACACACGAACAAATGCAGACAAAGACAGCCAGCATAGCAGCAGTCTCTGCATCAGTAGACCTCAACATACACAAATGGAAAACCAAGGTTCTCAGATACAACATGGAGAACAGCAATCCAATCACTCTTGATGGCGAAACTCTGGAAGATGTGGAATCATTCACATGCCTGGGAAGCATCGTCGATAAACAAGGAGGTTCAGATGCAGACGTAAATGCAAAGATTGGCAAAGCAAGGACAGCATTCCTTCAACTGAAGAACATATGGAACTCAAAACAACTTTCAACCAACATCAAAGTCAGAATCTTCAATACGAACGTCAAGGCAGTTCTACTGTACGGAGCTGAAATTTGGAGAACTACAACAACCACCATCAAGAATGTACAAGTATTTATCAATAGCTATCTACGCAAGATACTCAAAATCCATTGGCCAGATACCATCAGCAACAGCCTTTTGTGGGAGAAAACCAACCAGCTTTCAGCTGAAGAGGAAATTAGGAACAGACGATGGAAATAGATAGGACATACATTGAGGAAATCATTAAACTGCATTACGAGGTAAGCTCTCATTTGAAATCCTGAAGGGAAGAGGAAAAGAGGAAGGCCAAAGAACACATTACGTCGGGAAATAGAAGCAGATATGAAAAGGATGAATAACAACTAGAAAGAACTGGAAGGGATTGCCCAGAACATGATTGGATGGAGAATGCTTGTGAGCGGCCTATGCTGCTTCGCGAGGAGTAACAGGCGTAAGTAAGTAAGTAAGTAAGTAAGTAAGTAAGTAAGTAAGTAAGTAAGTAAGTAAGTAAGTAAGTAAGTAAGTAAGTAAGTAAGTAAGTAAGTAAGTAAGTAAGTAAGTAAGTAAGTAAGTAAGTAAGTAAGTAAGTAGCAATTATAAACTATGATATATCCAATTCGAAGATAGTTTAACTAAAGGCTAATAACAGTTATAGAAAATACTAGTTATCAGAGAGCATAGAATAGGTTATTCATTTCATTATGAGATATTTTAGTCAGAATACATTGGTTCACATATTTCATCATCAGTGATTTCGTTAAATAATCTGGCCATCAGTCAACATTATTAGTAAATATTCATCAATGACTATGTCTGAAATAAAAATCTGTGACATGATCGGTGTGGAAACAAAAGAACAATGAAGTCTAAGACGATTGATCGATATTTTGCAAATGAAGTATTTACTATATGGTTCTCAAATTTTACTAAAATGTTCTGTAATCTTGTGTTCAAATAGATTCGATTATCCTCAAGTATGCTCACGTTCACTACACTAAAACAGAATTAAACTTATCTCTACTTTTATCTTGTTTACATTTAAATTCTAACGTAAATTATGTAATGACTTGAAATCTGTAATCCAAACATTGACCTTGACTAGTCTTTGATTGCTGTTTATACTTTTTAATTTGTTATTTTGTCATATTTTTCTCAAGATCATAGGATTATCGAATGGACAAAGTAATTTTATGGTACGTTTGCCTTTTTGTATACAGTAAAAACTCCCATATGGAAGTTCATCTTCACTTCTATGTCATCATGGATATTCAGAAGAAATATGATTTAAGTAATGCTTCCAAGCAATAATAGCAGATACTATGTACTTTTAAAAAACGGAGACACTACATTTCAATCTTTGATAATACTGATTAAGGAAATTTTAGAAATCGGATCATTTCTTGATAAAATATTATGATGTATTTTTAATTTGATGAGAATAAACAGTTAACAGTTAAAAAATTGATGAACCCTTTCAAAATAATCCTATTGTGGTGTGTGCTACTTATGTAGACATAAGTAGTATATGATGTGAGTCATGAACAGAATGTCTGGCAGTAGAGAGACGAGAAGATCGAACAACAAAGAATGAAGAAAGAATGCAATTTGTATGAGAATGCAAGAACAAAGAGATTCTGATTCATTTGAGACAATTGATGAACAATTTGCAAATTAACGATTTAATATATGGTTCTCAGATTTTATTGAGATGCTCTGTAATTTGTTGTTAAATACATTCGATTGTCCCCACTGGTGTTCTGTTCACTACACTATATTCTTAAAATAATCCAATCTAATATTTAGTAAAATTTAAAGCGTTGTGAGCAAAGGTTGATAGTGGCTAGTAGTGGAATACAAGATGTACGTCCCATCCTATATAGACTCAGCAGCTAAGTGGATAACGCGATGGTATTTGTAGGAAACGGTATTGTGTTCGAGTCCCGAAGTGAATATTAACTTCGGGGTCCAGGTACATCCACCTGAAGAATCCTAAATATGACGGAAAGCTTATAATGCTTGCAACTTAAAGCAATATCGAATCAATCCACGCAGAATGCACATATGACAACAAGAAACTGATCAATTGCAGTAGGAAGATTTAAACAATCAATACAAAAATGAATTAAAATTCAAAACAATTATTTAGTTTAATCCAAGATTTATTTAAGTAGTATATACATGTATATGTTCACCTACAAAAATTATTTTTTTTATAAAATACACTTACTTTAAATATGCTAACACGTTTTAATGTATCAAAATGAACGTGAATAGCAATTTCAGCTTTTAATTTATCTGGTAAAGCATTAAGACTATCCTCTTCTAATGATTGTTTATTAGTCCATAAATAATCAAACCATCGAATTACTCGAAGTTCTAATTCTTTGTTAACTTTACGAAATTCCATATATCTAAATGTTATGAAACAAGACAACAGGTTGATAAAGAAGAGTAATTTTCATTAGTTATGTAAAGCATTGTGATTACTGTTAAACAAATGATTAAATATGTTGCACATTTCATTACTGCTCATCTAAGATTATTCTGCGTGGAATCGTATTTAGGACTGTCAAATCCCGTGATATTCAATAATCAATGAGCTATATCATCAACTAATTGAGATTTGAAACTATGAATGAACTTACCACAAAATATGAAAGTCTTGCATTCGATCCTCCCAGTGTTCGATGATGGGTGTTTTTTATTAAACAACCCTAACCTAGGAAAAGAAAGTATCCGCTTATTTCTCACACTCTGTATATCTCAAGAATGAGTTTATGATTTCCTCAAAGATATTTCATCATCATTATTTTTCGGCTGTACAATACACGTTGACATAATAATATTGTTTTATAACGCCTAAAAATCTCATCATCAATACTTATACTTCCGTCATATTTTTCACTTCATGTTAAAAAAGTCTACCACATTCCATCTTGGGATATTTGATGAAGGTTGATTTTTAAAAATTACAAATGCAGTGTGATACTTGTAGCTTAGACTACGGAATAACAGTGAATTTTTTTTTTTTGGGAATATTTTTCTGTCCTCTTCGTTTGAACTTTCTTAATCTTTCGCTCGTATGCCTTCCGCTTCCGATTGGTACGACATACGACTTATATCTGTCAACATAAGTAGCATATACCACAGTGCTATTGGTTGTACGAACAATAGGGTATTTTTGAAGGATAGTGTCAGTTTAAACATCCACTTTTTAAATATTAGTACATTGTCCAACCTCCGATTCACTTCAGTTTTAATAACAAAACGGTATAAATTCAAGAATATAAACCTGAACTTCGTAAGTGATCAAAATCCATGTCATAAGATCGAAAAAATATTAACACTAAACCAGTTTCTTAAAGAGGTATCCTTCAGCGGGAAAAAGAAATTAGAAGTATGGATGACCCATAAGCTTGCAGAAACACTTTATTTTTTATTGTTTACCAACTACTCATTTCAAACCAGATTTATAAGGTTTAGTCTTTTTTCTTATTGTTGCTAATTACATTATGAAGATCTATTTCATTATTTTTATTTCATGTTAATTTGGTATGACAACTTGTTTCAAAGCACATTTGTGTCATGCTCTAGGCTAATAACTCCTTTCTGTCTGAATCTTTATCTTTCTTCATATCAGTCAGTCGCAACGTAAAGCCTAGTATGTATGTACATCGGTTCAAGCTGCTATATCTCATTAGCACAGAGAGAAATGAAATTGTTATGAAAAATCTACGAGTTGTAGATGTGGTAACAGCATTAGTGGTAATATAAAAAATTAGGTATCAAAGATACGATCGAAGAAAATATGAATTAGTGCAATAAATTTCGATGGAATCAGAAGCCTAGAATCTGGGAAAAGAAAAAGAATGGATGTACCTGCGTCATTGTAAGCAATTTTAACTCATGTGATTCAGTCTAACCGCTGGTTACGATAATCACGTGGACCCCGACGAAGTAGTCTACAACTATTAACATGGCTTAAACCAATTGTCAATGATTCCATGAACTGACGTCATATTTTTGGTTGGCCAACCCTATTTTTTTCTAGCCTACTCCTATACCGGACGATATCGGTCGTCGAGGTGGGTAGTGGTTGGATATACGTAACACATATCCCAATACATCAGTTGGTAAAGATTTACTACCTCGACAACCGACTTGCCATCTCTACCCAGTAATCAGGCACTGCTGCTTCAGTGGTCCCAAAATACATATAAAGTAGGATGGAGAGAACTCCGCCTGGAGCCCCTATCCGGGGGCTACTGCCAGTCCCAAGCCCGGACAAAGGAGGAGGATTGAGCATGGGGTTAGCGACCCCATCCCGTAGAAAACTAACTCGCTAAAAAAACGCTAACCAGAAAAATCTATTCAAACCATTTAAACTCTGTCCTGGGAATCAGAAGGTCTTCGTTTAGAAGAATTATGACGCCTCATGATGAAAGCCGAGTTTCTTCGGAAGTCACGAGGCCGATGCCCCTTCTGACAACCAGAGCAACCATTTATTTAGGTACATGGAATGCTCGCACAATGTGGGAGACTGGGAGAGTTTTCCAAATTGCTGCAGAAATGAGGAGATACAATTTAGAGGTGCTTGGGATCAGTGAAACACATTGGACGCAAGTTGGACAACAACGACTAGCTTCAGGGGAGCTGCTGTTATACTCCGGACATGAACAAGAAAATGCTCCACATACACAAGGAGTTGCATTGATGCTGTCCAAACAAGCACAAAATGCACTTATAGGATGGGAATCTCATGGACCAAGAATCATCAAAGCCTCCTTCAAAACAAAGAAAACGGGCATTACAATGAACGTCATCCAATGCTACGCGCCTACCAATGACTACGATGAAGACGCTAAAGATCAATTCTACGATAGGCTGCAGTCAATCGTCGAGAAGTGCCCAACAAAAGACCTGACTATTCTGATGGGAGACCTAAATGCCAAGGTTGGAATTGACAACACCGGATATGAAGAGATCATGGGACGACACGGACTGGGAGAAAGGAACAAAAATGGTGAGAGATTTGCAAACCTATGTGTCTTCAATAAACTGGTCATAGGCGGGACTATATTCCCACATAAACGCATACACAAAACCACATGGACTTCACCGGATCACAGCACACAGAACCAAATCGACCATATCTGCATCAACAAAAAGTTCTGGAGGACGTGAGAACAAAGAGAGGAGCTGATATAGCATCAGATCACCACTTGCTGGTCGCCAAGATGAAATTGAAACTCAAGAGACACTGGACAACGGGGCAGACAATATCACAAAAGTTTAATGCTGCTTTTCTTCGGGATACTGACAAACTCAACAAATTCAAGATAACCCTCAGCAATAAGTTCCAAGCCTTTCATGATCTACTCAATGGAGAAGAAACTACTATGGAGAGCAACTGGAAAGAGATAAAAGAGGCAATCACTTCAACATGTCATGAGGTTCTGGGCCAAAAGAAGCACCATCACAAGGATTGGATTACGGTCGATACACTGGATAAGATTCAAGAAAGAAGGAACAAGAAAGCAGCAATCAATACCAGTCGAACAAGAGCAGAAAAAGTCAAGGCACAAGCTGAATACACAGAAGTAAACAAGCAAGTGAAAAGGAGCATCAGAACTGACAAACGTAAATATGTGAAAGATTTGGCATTGACGGCGGAAAAGGCTGCCAGATAAGGAAACATGAGACAACTGTATGAAACAACAAGGAAACTCTCTGGAAATCACCGTAAACCAGAACGACCAGTGAAAAGCAAGGAAGGCAAGATAATCACCAACATTGAAGAATAACGAAACAGGTGGGTAGAGTACTTCAAAGAACTCTTGAATCGACCAGCCCCACTGAACCCACCCAACATCGAAGCAGCACTCACGGACCTCCCAATCGATGTCGGCCCACCAACAATTGAAGAAATCAGCATGGCTATCAGACAAATCAAGAGTGGCAAAGCAGCAGGACTAGACAGCATTCCAGCAGAGGCACTGAAAGCAGACGTAGCGGCAACTGCAAGGATACTCCACATTCTCTTCAGAAAGATCTGGGATGAGGAACAGGTACCAAAAGACTGGAAAGAAGGACTTCTAGTCAAAATACCAAAGAAAGGCGATCTCAGCAACTGTGACAACTACAGGGGAATTACTCTCCTCTCAATACCAGGAAAGGTCTTCAACAGGGTATTGTTAAACAGGATGAAGGACTCCGTAGACGCCCAACTTTGCGACCAACAGGCAGGATTGCTTTGGGATAGATCGTGCACAGACCAAATCGCAACTCTACGGATCATTGTGGAACAATCAATTGAATGGAATTCATCACTCTATATCAACTTCATCGTCTACGAAAAAGCATTTGATAGCGTGGACAGAACAACCCTATGGAAGCTTCTTCGACACTACGGCGTGCCTCAGAAGATAGTCAATATCATACAGAATTCCTATGATGGATTAAACTGCAAAATCGTGCATGGAGGACAGTTGACAAAGTCGTTCGAAGTAAAGACCGGTGTCAGGCAAGGTTGCTTACTCTCACCCTTTCTCTTTCTCCTGGTGATCGACTGGATCATGAAGACATCAACATCTGAAGGGAAGCACGGGATACAGTGGATAGCTAGGATGCAGTTGGATGATCTAGACTTCGCAGATGATCTGGCTCTTCTATCGCACACACAACAACAAATGCAGGAGAAGACAACCAGTGTAGCTGCAGCCTCAGCAGCAATAGGTCTCAATATACACAAAGGGAAAAGCAAGATTCTTCGATACAACACAACATGTACCAATCCAATCACAATTGACGGAGAAGCTTTGGAAGATGTAAAAACCTTTACATATCTGGGCAGCATCATCGATGAACACGGTGGATATGATGCAGATGTGAAGGCACGGATTGGCAAAGCAAGAGCAGCATATTTACAACTGAAGAATATCTGGAACTCAAAACAATTAGCAACCAACACCAAAGTCAGAATTTTCAATACAAATGTGAAGACAGTTCTACTGTATGGGGCGGAAACCTGGAAAACTACGAAATCCATCGTCCAAAAGATACAGGTGTTTATTAACAGTTGTCTACGCAAAATACTTCAGATCCGCTGGCCGGACACTATAAGCAACAACCTACTGTGGGAGAGAACGAATCAGATCCCAGTTGAGGAAGAAATCAGGAAGAAGCGCTGGAAGTGGATAGGACACACATTGAGGAAAGCACCGAACTGCGTCACAAGACAAGCCCTCATATGGAATCCTCAAGGTCGAAGGAGGAGAGGAAGACCAAAGAAAACATTACGCCGGGAAATGGAGATAGATATGAGAAAAATGAACAAGAGTTGGATGGAACTAGAAAAGAAGGCCCAGGACAGAGTGGGTTGGAGAATGCTGGTCGGCGGCCTATACTCCATTGGGAGTAACAGGCGTAAGTAAGTAAGTTCTGGAAATAATTACAAAACTATCGAAAAAACCTGGTGACTATTAACTCAAAAGCAGATTGATCAGAAAGTATGCACTGGTAAATGTTTTTTGAACTAAGAGTTTTTCGTGAAGTTACATACAAGAACAGACAAGTCAGAATTTATTTTTGTATTGGTTGTTTAAACCTTCTCATTGATTAGTCTCTTATTAGCAATATGTGCATTCTATGAGGACGGGCTTGATATTGCCTTGGATCACAAGCGTTATAAGTAGAGATGGATGGTGGGTAGGAATAGAAAGATTCAAGCAACCAATACAAAAATGAATTCAATTTCACCCGATTGCACAATCTAGTGGCTGTCAACACTCAATTTCTAAGCAGATAAAGAGATGGAGTTTAAAGTGGAAGGGAGTGGGTTCGAGTGTTGAAGTGATCTACAACTCTGGGATTCAGATACATCCAACTGACGAGTCTCAAGCGTGACGAAACTTTTGTCCTGGATTTTACTGCTAGCCACTACCATCCATCTCTGCTTATGATGCTTATTACATCAGGCAATATCAAGGCGATACATACAAACACTAAAGCAATAAGGAGTGTTCACTGATCAGGTGTCTCAGAGTAGATAAGAACAGCTTTTTAATTCTCAATGGATTTTCATGATTCTTTATCTCATTTGAGTTTATAATGAAAGTTTTATCAATTCAATTTATACTGTAAGTGAATGAAAAAAATTGTTTTATTTAACTGACTTGAGTATTTATTTTTGAATAGTCTGAAAGGTAATATTGTCAATTGTTTAGTGAGAGAATAGCTACTTCTGATTAGAAATCCATTTCACATTTTAAACATCTGAAATATATGCTAATGAACAGTAGTATACAATATGATATTTATTGAACCTGGCAAATAGTTTCCACAGGTTCTTACCAGATATTTTTACAATATGACTTCAGTAGTGTCACAAAATAATGAAATATCTCTTAAGCCTCTCGTTGCAACAAGTAAAATCTTGATAACTTGATTCACTACAAATAATATTGATTCAACTAAATGTTATGTATATTTTTATTAAAGATGCCTATCCATACAATATAGTAAAAATAACTGTAATTGAAATTAAAAATGTATATTGAGATCATGAATGGACGAATATTAAACCACCATTGGAAACCAGGAAGCACTGGACGGCCGTTTCATCTTAGTATGGGACTCCTCAACAGTACCCATCCACGATTCCCCACACACTACTCGAACCCAAAACCTTCGGTATCATGAAGAATTATTTAACATCTAGACCTCTGAACTGGCGTTCGACAGTGTTCACGTCTAACTTTGACCAATTCATGAAATTGCGTGATTGTCTTTGTTGGGTAACTGACTCACATCTGATACAAATTAGCTACACCGGTCACGGCTTATCAGAATTACCTCTCAAATCTAATTAGTGATGAGTATATGATAATTATCAGTATGGGATTGTGGAAACTATTGAGTATTTGATTGAGATCATGAACCGATTAATGTTAGATCACCAGGTTTTCATTGGTGATCTAAAATTAACCGATTCATGATCTCATTCAAATACTCAACAATCTCCACAACTCCATACTGACAAAAATGTATCATAGTTCCATGTTTAATTTTAACATTACTTATGCCAGTTACTCCTCGCAAAGGAGCATAGGCCGCTCACTAGCATTCTTCATCCAACCCTGTCATGGGCAGTCATTTCAAGCTCTTTCCAGTTCTTATTCATCCTTTTCATATCTGCTTCTATTTCTCGACGTAATGTGTTCTTTGGCCTTCCTCTTTTCCTCTTCCCTTCAGGATTCCAAGTTAGCGCTTGTCTCGTAATGCAGTTTGATGATTTCCTCAATGTATGTCCTATGCATTTCCATCGTCTGTTCCTAATTTCCTCTTCAGCTGAAAGCTGGTTTGTTGTCTCCCTAATTTTAACATTATATTCATGATATTCATGCGAAAAAATTGTACTTTACTAATCTCACTGACTATACATAATTACTGAGTTGATCAAGCTTACAGTCAATTTTCAATCATTTCTGTTGTTTGATGTTAATTATATTATTTAAGATAAAAATCCAATATTATACATGATTAAATCATTTACTTACACTCACTTACTCACTCACCTTTTAACACCATCCATTTTATTTTGAAATTCTGTTCTAGCTGCATTCATATTTGTTATCATTGCTCCAACATTACCAACAACAGTTGCAAAAATTAATACCCCAACAAGAAAATCAATAGTGATAAAAATATATTCAGCATTTCGTACTGGTTTTGGTGTTTCTCCAATTGTTGTTAAGATTAATGTAGACCAATAGAAACTATAAACATATTGAGAAAATAATCGATCCCATTGTTCTGTATAATTTTGAAATTCATCTGATGTATCATCACTGGAACGTGGTGGATAGACAAATGAATCTGAACTTAAACCTGTTTTACAATATCATAAAGATTAGAAAATGAAAACAAAAATGTATCCACATTTTAATTATCAAGTTATATTCATGAATGATACTTTAATGTTCAGTGTATTCTGTTCTACATGGTATGTTAAATATAGATTCACTTACATCTGTAACATTGTATGGTTTTGTAGCGAATGCAGTGTTCAAAGTTCAGTGTATAAATGTGTACTTCGACTATTGAGTTACATCGAATTATTGTCAATTTATTGATAAATCATTTTAGGTGATCACATCTAGATCGATAGTTACTGGGTTTGAGTCGCATTATGAATATCAATAATGGGATTTGGGTGTGTTTAGCCGATGAGTTTCAATCAATCGAAGTATGCTAAAAACTTGAATTTTTTTAAAACTAACTTGAGTTTTATTTTAATTCATATATTTTGGTTGTTTGGATCATCCCATTGATGATTAGAACTGGAATTGATCAATTTTTTTTGTCATTTATGCATGCTGTGCGGACTGTCTTATTATAGGTAATAGGTCACAAGCATCATAAGCAGAGATGGATGGTAGTGGCTAGCAGTGGAATTCAGGACGTGCGTTTCGTCCTGTTTAAGACTCGTCAGCTGGATGTACTTGCATCTCAGAGTTGATGTTCACTCCAACACTTGAACCCACTGCCTTTTGCTCCACTTATAAACGGAGTCTATATAGCCACTAGCTTGCGCGACGAGATGAATTTTAATCTTAATTTATATCTATTAGTTGTTTGAGTCTTCACATCGATGTTTAAGACTCGAGTTTTACCTTTGTAGATAATCACTTAGGCAAGAGAAGTTACCAAACTGAGATTTCCAAATTTATATAAAGAACTAATATGGTTTTGTATTCCATTTTCTACTACGTGGATATGTGTTACTAAATAGTCTTAAACTTCTAACAAATATTTGTCTAGTTCTCTTTATTACCCATGCGTTCTCCAATTGATACAAATGTGTAATGTAGACCATCTTTACTCAGTGTAGTAATATGTAAACTAAAAGAATTACGTGAACTAATGAAAAAAGCTAGTAGTCTAGATATAAAGAAATTAACAGTTAATGTTTATAAGACTTTTATACAATGATGTTAGTATATAATAGATGAATGAATATGGAGATGAGTTTATTAATGTGGAAATGATGACTAGTTGATAAGTACTTCGATTAGATTGTAGTCTAAATCAAACTGTAAGGTTGATATTATCAATAAACATTTGACATAACGTAAACTATGTAGGATGACGATGATGATGTAATTAATTACTTCATCATAAACTCTCTATAGGACGTTATGTTATTCTTGAACTAACAAGAATTAAATAAGAGAACAACCAATCCATTATAAAAAGAAAATATAAATCTAGATAATTAATAATGAAAATCCTTTTAGAATAGCTGATAGCTATTTTTAACACATTAGACTTGTAAAATGCTAACTGGGGTTCAAAGTGTTACGTTCTACATGGTTTCTAACTATTAAAGTATAAATATTACATATGATATAAATAAGTATATATGTGATCTTTGTTATGGTTCAGAGTCGTGTGTGTGTGTGTGTTAAATATTCTGTGATTGGCTTATACTAACAAATAATTATACTGTTTATTATTACAGGTTTCAGTTATTATACAGGAATAAAAACGTTAAAGCATATAGACTATTCAGACTTGGCAATCATATCTTTTTTACTATACCTTACTCCTTGGCTTTAATATCTTAAACTACGGTCTTATAGATTGATCTTAAAGAAAATGAAAGAAATCATACGCTCATGACTAAGGTGTGATATAATAACTCACAAGTTTATGGAAATTAGTGACAAATAGCACCTTTACAATACAATTACATTCATTATATTTTGACTGATTTATTGAAATTAGTTTTTCGCCATCTATCACTATTGACAAGTGTTTGAACTACACTGTTGTTGGTATTTTTGATTCATATTTAGTAAGTCATTTATTATTACTAATAACAACGTTATAATGATAACCATCCAACAACTTAGTAACAATCTTAACTCATTAGTTCAATGGATAATATACTGCCATTCGAAGCAAAACATCTTCAATTCAAGTTCCAAATAGAACAACGCTAATTGAAATATAAAGTGTATTCATTTAACGACTTCATGACATATGACATATAGATTCCACTATTAGCTTAGAAAAAATTTATCGATTCCTTCAATCATTTAAACTTATTAGTAGAAAAACAAAATAAATTTATATTTATTTATTTGAACACATAAACATTGATATAAGGGAGCACCAGATATATATGCGCCACACAATAACAATGAGAATCGGAAGAGAAAAATATGTAAGGTGCGTATAAGAAAAAAAGAAAGAAGGAAGAATAAAAAAGAATAATAACGACCACAAATTAGTGTATGGTAGTGTAATATTAATAAGAATGGGGGAAACGGAAAGGTACAACTAGAAAGAATTATTTCAGTTAAAGAAGTTACAACCACTTTCGATGAAGAAAGTAAAAGAAGGTTACAGCAGGATCACCACTGGCTTCTATTATGAGCCATATATGATAACGTCTCTAGCCACTGTGTTACACCATATCTAGGACCCCATCCAGGGAGTCATGAAGGACCAACACAAGCCAGCCCTTTGCAGCTTTCTTTCATACCACGACACCATGTCATTTACTGACCACCTCTCTGCTTTTTCCAACCAGTCCCAGCGTCGGCAAATAATGCACGATGTGGAATTCTCTGGGACGACATTCGTAGAACATGTCCAAGCTACTGAAGTCGGTGTTTCAAAATGGTGACACCAACTGAATTATTGTCTCTGCACCCAAACACACGATGGCGAACTTCTGCAATACTAACATAGTGTTGTCACTGGATGCCAGCAATCCTTCAGAGACAACGATTATCAAACACAGAGTCGTCTAACATTCTCAACTCGGAGAGGCCAGGTTTCACAAGCATAGAGTAAAGCTGCTATCACCAACACGTTGTAGATTCGACCTTTTACAGCCAGACTAACATCACGAAGGCGCCAAAGATGGCCCAGATTGGCATAAGCCGCTCTGGCTTTCACTATACGTGCATTGATCTCATCACTCACACCACCACCAGCACTTATGCAGCTACCTAGATACACGAACTTCTCGACTACTTCTATCTGCTCACCATCCAGAGTGAGTACAGGATTAGAATTCTGCCAGTCTTGTAGATGTACTTTGCACTTCGAAGGTGCAAAGCACATACCATACCTACGGACACTGATTGCTAACTAATTAAATGCGGATTGCATGACTTGGGCATTATCGCACAGTAAGACAATATCATCCACATACTCAGGGTCAAGAAGTCTTTCTCCAGGTAACAGATCCACACTGTTAGCTAAAAAAAGTTTTCTATCTATTCCTTCAATCATTTAACCTTATAAGAAGAAAAAAAATAAGCAAAAGAAGTAACAAATAAATAAACATACCAGTAACACGACTAAATCCAAAATAAATACATGCATTCCAATGAATTAACACTAATATATAAGTAGTAAGCATTGAAATACGAAATAAATTTGGTCGATTTGTACGTGTTTCAGTTCTATCAACAAATTCAAATGATCTATAAATTTTCATTAAACGATTAAATCTTAACCATGAAGCATAATGATTTAATACTGGTATAAAATAAAATAAATCAGTTGGTAAAATTGTCATTATATCAATAATAAATTGTCGCCGTTTAATATAAGCTTGTTTTAATTTCTCTTTATCACGTACTAATAAACCTTCTTCTAAGTAACCTAAATAATTTATATAAAAAGGAAAAATAGAAAAAAGAAATAGAGTAAACAAAAACATATCAGAAGGGGGTTTTGTGTAGATTATAGTAATTTCAATAGTTGAAATCATGAGTCAATTGAAGCTAGATCACTATGGAAAACCTTGAAGCACTGAATGGCCGTTTCAATCTATTGTGGGTCTCTTCAGCAGTGCTCATCCACAATTCAGCCTTGCGATATTCGAACCTAGGACCTATCAGTCTTGTGTGAAATCGCTTAACCATTAGACCACTGAGCTGGTCGGCATCCAACGTTGTTAATGCCTATCTTCAACTAATTCACGGAATTGAGCGACACATCCACCATTGTCATCAGTGACTTACTATCTCACAACTAACCCGGCTGGACTCCACTGGTCACTGCTTCTCACTAGAACTCCAAGATATACTTCTTGAAGCCAGTCACTTGTGAATATATGTTGATGATAATCACAAGGGGGTTTTATGGAGATTTTAGCGATTTCAATAGTTGAAATCATGAGTTAGTTGAAGCTAGATCACTATGGAAAACCTAGAAGCATTGGACGGCCGTTTCGTTCTATTGTGGGTCTCTTCAGCAGTGTGCATCCACGATCTCGCCCCCATCGAGATTCGAATCCAGGACCTATCAGTCTTGCGTGCAATCGCTTAACCATAAGACCACTGAGCTGTTCGGCATACAAACAGGGTTATTGTCTAACTTTAATAAAAAATAGTGAATTTCAATTAGTTCTTATGGTAATAATAGTCAACAGTTTGGTTAACATATTTAGAAACTGTGTATTATTCAAAACTGACAATATGCTGTCATACTATTTTAAATTTATGTTACCTATTTATTTTAATAGTTAACTTCATGAATTGATGTATGCTAGATTACCATTGAAAATTTGGAAGTACTAGACAACTGTCTTGTTGTAGTATGGGACTCCTTAGTAATGCATTCGGTCCCACGAGTGAAAGTTTAATTTCTAGACTACTGAACCGAAGTTCAATGGTGTTCATGTGCTAACTTTAATCGATCCATGATCTTATGCAACCCTTCTCTTTTTATTGTACAAATCTTCATATCCTTCTGTTTCAATTACCTGTATTCCATAGTTACAATAGATATAATGTACGATAGTTCATGAATTAATTTTTGTTTATTTGCTTTATTGAGTTATTGTAGAACTTTATGAAGATTAAGAAATTCTGTAAATAATTTAGTAACCCCTCCTATTATTGAGTACATAAAATAATTATGTAATAAGTGTTTGTCAATGAAATTGAATAACATTTGTGTCGTGATGTCCAGTGTCCAAAATCTGATAATGAGATACGGTGTGTTATGCGCTAACCCCCCCCCCCCAACTGACTACTTGAGCGAGAACACAAGAGTGAGTGAGAAAGTGTATTGGACTGCCAAATAAATAAATATATTGACCCCAATGAAATGCACTTGACCTTTAGGTCACTTCTGATCACCATCGATTGACTTTCTATATCAATTTGAAAATTTTTAGTTCTTATCGTTATTCATTTTAAGTAAACATTTCAACTTGGCCAATGAATCAGTAAACAAAATAAAGACGGTTCAGGGAAGGAAAATTTTTTCGGTCATTTTATTGATTTAAAGCTGTACAATCGTATTTATAGCTAATTTTACATATAGTAGTTTGTCATAAAGGAAGTTCTGGAACATCTGACAAAGTTGCCATAAATTCTCAACAACTCTCACCTATTGAACTCGTACTACAGGTAATAAGAAATAACAGTATAATAGTTGAATTCATGGATCGATCTAAGATAGACCACCACTGAAAATGTGGATTGACTGGATGGCCATTTCGTCTTGGTATGGGACGAAGAGCTGCACAAGACTACGAAGCGATTAAAGTTAGACATTGATACCGTTGGATGCCGGTTCATTGATCTAGAGATTAAGCGATCGCGCATAAGACCGAAGGTACTGGGTGGATGTGCATTTTTGAGGAGCCCGATACTAGGAAAAAACGGCCGTGCAGTGCTGCGAGGTTTTCAGTGGTGGTCTAGCTTAGATTGACTCATGAATTCAACTATTACAATCACTACGATCTCGACAAATTTCTATTCTGAAAATAACAATTTGCAGTGGAGTTGTCAATAAAAGTAGTTGTCTACACTACGAGTATGAGGCTGAAGAATAAGATATTAACTAGGACTAATAATTAGTAGAACTGGAGGGTTTACTAAGATCATGCTAAAATAAAGTATTGTTTATGACCTCTTAGTACATAGAGTTCAGAAATGGATTAGTTAACTGTTATTACACAATCACTGAGTACAATTTGCAAAATTACCCCTAAATACTATTACACAAATTTAAGCAAATGATATCATAGAAATAAAAATTTTCTGATTGAACCTTTTTCAGTTTGTTTAAATCTATAAACAAATTACAAAATAATTTAACTCACCTGTACGTAATCCAACAAATATATCCATAAAATAGACACAATCAATACAATAGTCTAATACCATCCAAGTGATAGGACTTAATTCATGAAATTGAGTAAATGCAGATCTCATCGGTAAAACAATTGCATTGTAAAGTACTGTGATTGTAACTATTCCAATCCAATAATAGTAACCACTTTCAGATGAATCAATGACTAAATCTTTAAGGTTACTATGAAAATAAATAATAAATACAAATTAATATTTGTTTTCAGAAAAAAAGGATGATATTCAGCGGATGCTAATAATTTTATTGAGATCACTGAACGACCTACATAGAACAATCTTTAAAAACTTGTAAGTATTTGATGGTGGTTTTGTCTTGGTATGGAACTTCTTAGAACTTAAACATCTATGTTCTTGTATTTGTGATTGGAACCCAAGAGTCTTGGTCTGACTCTAGTTGTTGTAATCATCTACTTTTATAATGACAAAGGATATCAAGTGTTCTTAATAAGGCATTGTTTATTAAATTTGTCCTTACTTTTATACTCACATACATGGTTTATAGTGTTTTGAGGTATTTCCCTATCTTTTAATACATGTATCTATTTACCCATACATTTTTATCGAATGACAAAAGAGAGGGATTGGATTGATCTCTCAATGGAGAGGTTTACTTTAAAATTCGGGCATGTGACTCCATGATGGTCGGCGACCATAGTACAATCATTTTCTATTCATTTTATAAAAATTTTAAGACTTAGTTTCACAATTTTTCAGATCTCTTTATATCTCGACGAAGCTTAAACACCAAATATTCACTTTCATCTTCTCAATACATGACAATACTGAATAAATTTTCTATAAAGAAGTCTATAAATACACAATCCTATAAGAAAATCAAGTAATGAGGATTGAACCGTCCCACAAAATTCTAATTGAGATCAACGATTTCGAAGGAAGTCAATGGAAAGAACAAATTGAACTTTTGTGGAACATTACAATTTTCAGAAGGGGTTTCGTGAGGATTGTAGTAATTTCAATGGTTGAGATCATGAGTCAATTGAAGATAGGCCACCATCGAAAACCTAGACGCACTGGATGGCCGTTTCGTTCTATTGTGGAACTCCTCAGTAGTGCGCATCCACGATCCAGCCCCTCGAGATTCGAACCAAGGACTTAACAGTCTCACGCGCAAACGCTTAACCTCTAGACCATTGAGCTAACTGGCATCCAGTGGTGTTGATGTCTAACTCCAACTATTCCATGAAATTGCGCCATGGTCCACCATTGTCGTCGGTGAGTTACCATCTCAAAACACATCCGTTGAACTCCACTGGCCATAAATACACACTGCTGAAGAGTCTCACAATAGAACGAAACGGTCATCCAATGCTCCCAGATTTTCTATGGTGATCTAGCTTCAATCGTCTCTTGAATTCAATTATTAAATTATATTATCATTGTCAAAATCTTAAATTATCAAAATGATCAAAACACTAAAACATTTTTTTTGATTATATTGTAAATTAAATTAAGCATTAAAAAGCTTTCCCTGATATTTTGTTAATGTTTAATGAGCAACGTATTGAAATATTGTAGATAATTTAGTTAGACATTATAAAAATTAAATTAAATTTTTGTCTAAAAATTCTTTCAAAAAAAAGAAGAAAAAAAAGAAAAAAAATGAAAGAAGAGAAGTTTAGTTATTCCCATAGAAACCGATAGATTGAACAGTTTCGAATTACAATTTTTACTAAATATAGCGACTGAATTCAATTTATAATAATTTGAATTATTGCATTGTTTATATTCTTAAATGAAACTTGATCAAATTCAATTGGTATTGTTTACTTGTATCTTATCATTGTTATTTAGAATTGTAATTGATCAATCTCTTGTGATTATCAAGATTCAATAGATAAGTGGATAAAACGATGACATTTGTAGTGAATGATGATGAGTTCGAATCACGGAGTGAACATCAACTGTAGGATGTATGTACATCAAGCTAACGAGTTTCAAATAGAACGAAGTGGTACATGTCTTGGATTCAACTGCTAGCCACAATCTATCTTTGCTTATGAAACTTGATCAGTTTTAGTTAACGTGTAGCACATCCTGTCCGGATTGCTTCGGTATAGCCATTATATCATAAGTTTTTATAGAATAGATTAAAAATGGTTAAAAGTGGAGTTTAGTACGTACGTTTTGTCCTATTCAGGATTCGTCAGCTGAATGTGTATAGACTAGCAGGTATCTGGATTCAGCAGATCAACAGATAAAGCGTTAGTCATTTTTATTTTAGTATGAAAATGATCAATGAAATGCAGGTATATCTGTCTGATGACTTCAAAATAGGACAAAAAGGGTCTCCTGAATTTCATTACTAACCATATTCCATCTGTTCTATAAAAATATGGATAATTTTTGAGCGAAAAATGAAGTCATCTTTTGAGTTAGTAATGTCATATTTACATACAGTCATTGATTTATGTTATAGAGAAATTTCATTTGTTTGATGTTAGACTGTGAATAACTACTTACAAGTTAATCTTCAAATTACCAGAATTACTACTAGATATACAGATAAGGGAAACTAAGGACTATAGTTCTAACAGAGGAAACGTTTGTGTGGCTATGTCAACTTGACGATTAATTTTGTGAATCGAATTGAATTTTATGTCTACTGACAAACAAATACAAAATCTGAGGTATTGACGACAAACTTATAGTGAATGAATGTCAGTATATAAAAAAATAAACACCAACAAGGTTCATTTATAATATAATTAACTCTAGAGATCCTAAATCATAGGTTAATTATCAATCAACAGCATCAAAACCTTGATCATTAGGTCTATCTGACTAATAGGATTCGTTTGGCGTTAAAGATCAAAGATATATAACGTAACATTGTGTTACTAGTCTATCTGTTCTTGATTTTCACATGGACCGTACGTTCCGATGAAATTGTATATAAACCTTCTTTACTTGTTTCTAATGGCAAGAAACCTAGATTTAAAGTATCTTGATGACTGATTCCAATCACCTAACACCGTCCCACTTGTCAACTATCATATCATTTAATGAAAATATTGATATTTTTCGTTAACAATGAGCTGAAAAAAACTAAAAATATCAAAAATGAACCGTTATAATTTTATTAAAAGTATATTCATATAATGTACCCATTATTTCGATTTTCATGAATAGCATCATGGATGCGCACTGCTAAGGAATTCCATACTAAGATGAAACACCTTTTTAAATGTTTTCAAATTTTCAATGATGGTCTAGTTTACATTAACTCATAAATTCAACTATCAAATTACTACAATGTCAACAAAACCCCCTTTCTGACAATAAATATATCAATTAGTAATTATAACATTTAAAAATTTGAAACACACAATTCACCTTGGTATCTTTTGAATTCTTTCATGTATTTTTAATTTTTTCTTTGTTTCACCTTCTATTTCTTGTTTATTGGTATCATTTTTCTTTTCACCAATTTCAGTATCTTTATTTATGATTAAATTTTCCACTGCTGAATCAATTTGTTTCTCACGTTTATATGTTTTATTGAAACACTTAATAAAATGAAAAGAATAAATAAAGAAACAAAAATAAATTACTATAATATCCACAAAACACATCCTGATATTAATTAACATATGCTCCCTAGTGACCGGCTTCAAGATGTATATCCTGAAGTTCTAGTGAGAAGCAGTGACCAGTGGAGTTCAACTGGGTCTGTTTTGAGATAGTAACTCACTGAAGACAATGGTGGTTTTGTCGTTCGATTTCGTTGATTGGTTGATGTTAGACATTAACACCGTTAGGTGCCGGCCAGCTCAATAATCTAATGGTTAATCGCTCACCCTCGAGACTGCTAGGTCCTGGGTTCGAAACTGGCAAGATGGGGTCATGGATGAGCACTGATGAGGAGTCCCACAATAGATCATCTAGTGCTTCTAGGTTTTCCATGGTGGTCTAGCTCCAATTGACTTATGATCTCAATTAGTGAAATAATTTTTTGATAAGAACATTTGTAAATAGCATTTGAACTATCTATTATTTAATCAAAATTGTATCGTTTGCTTAAATCTTCCTATTGGTGTTTAAGACTGTAATTGATCAGTCCCTAAATTAATATCAATTCTTAGATGCAAGTATATCCAGCTTACGAGTCCCGAGAAAGACAAAACGCGCGTTCTAGATTTCACTGTTAGCCACCATCTATCTTTTCTCAAAGTATTTTATTTATATATTTCGGTGATTCATGGAAAAAGTTTTGTGATATTTTATGTAAAAGTCATTATGAATCGATATTTTAGTGCGTATAAATAAAAGCTACAATTGGATTTATAATGACTTATAGAGTGAATAATGATGAGGCTGTTTTTATTGTTGGGCAACATTCAGTATCCAAATATTAGAACTCAAAATGGAGTTAACAAGTGTCATAATTTACTCTAATTTTATGAATTCAGTGTCATTGTGAGATAATACTTGGGATTTCAGTGAGAGACCATAACCAATAGAGTCTAGCCATATTACGTGTGGGGCAGTTAAAAATGTCATTGAAAGATAGTTGTCTAACATTACTAATTGACTGAAATTAAACATGTAAATCATTTAACGTCGACTTACTTGTTGAAAGGTTAAGTATGAGATCTAGAAACTTTGTGTTTGATCCCCAGTAGGGTTCGTGGAGGTACAAACCACTGAGCAATTTCATAATAGTTTGAAAAGGTTATCTAGTTCTTTCGTATTCCTACTGGTTTTCTATTTAAGGCCAGTTTATGATAGAAACTATAGTTATTATTTATCAGTATAGGGGTTGTGGAGATTGTTAAGTTTTGATTGAGATCATGAACCGATTGATGTTAGACCATCATTGAAAACCTGGAAGCACTGGACGGCCGTTTCGTCCAATAGGACCCAGGGCTTTCAGTATCGCGCGCGAACGCTTAACCTACTGGACCACTGAGTCGGCATCCAATAGTGTTAATGCCTAACCACAACCAATCCACGAAATCGCGCAACCATCTTCTAATGTACTAAGGTAGATACCTGTTTCTACCCGACACGTCATTGATCAAACTCACCTATTACATCTCATCTAAAGTTTTTTGACATTTATATTATGATGAGTTGAACATAAATAAAGCCTATACACACTGATTTAGTGTACATAAGCAAAAAAACATAAAGCTTCCTCTCATATGAATGAGACGAGACAAAAGAAGTATAAAAACTGATGATTTATCTTTTACTTGAACACTTAAACGTCAACCTCATGATTACTTCCTAGTTTCTATAAAAATCTTTCACCAATGAACCTCGAGTAAAATATTGAAAACGAAAAGTAAAACAGAAGGCTTTACTTTTGATGTTAATGTAAAGAAAATAAGGGTATGTATACGGTTATTTGTGATCCCAAGTTCTTAGAAACTTATAAAACTCATGCTAAATCAATAATGAATTCGGTAAACTTATAACCAGAAAAAAATATTCAAACCAATTAAACTCCACCTGGAGCCCCTTTGGGGCTACTGCTGGTCTCAAGCTCGGATAAAGGGAGAGAGTTGGGCATGAGGTTAGCGACCCCATCCCGTAGAAAACTAACTCGCTGAAAAAACGCTATCCAGAAGATTAACTTCATAATCAGGATAAGGAAAATGATTTTCTTGTAATTATCTAAAGATGATCAATAAATCAAAATACTTTTATAAGATTTTCCTAACTTATGAATATTTTATTGAGAAATGATCAAGATCTCTTAACATCTGGTTGGCTAATTTTGAACGGTTTATTTGTTTAATTATGAAGTAATTGGTTTCGATAGTTTTATATAATCCTATTATTGAAAACGAATAGTGAAATACACTAAGACCATTATGACTAAACAGAGTGATTAGGCTTCACCAATCCTTAAATAAACGTTAATCGAACTTGTGAAACATTAACATAAAGTAGAGTTAAAAACCAACATATTATTATATCAGCTTCCAGCCGAAGAGAAAATTGGTACAAGATGTTGGAGGTAGATAGGACATATATTGTGAAAATTATCAAACTGTATCATGAAGCAAGCGCTAACATAAAATCCTAAAAGGAAACGAAATAGTGAAAGGAAAAAGAACACACTGTACTCAGAATTGGAAGTAGATATGAAAAGAATGAATATCAACTGAAAAGAACTGGAAAGGAATGCTTAGAATAGAGTTGGATGGAGAATGCTGGTGTTCGTTTTACACTCCTCCACGAGAAGCAATAGGCGTAAGTAAGTAAAAACATGTGTAAATGGTTTTTTTCACAAAGATATAATAAAATCCGATAAATAATTCTTTTCTTTCTTTATAAACCTCCATTTAAAATAGATCACCAGACGTTAGAAAGAAAATGCTATTCTTGGAAATTGTAAGTAACTCCAACTTTTCGTTTTTCAGTCTGATTCGAGATGTTTTAGTGAAATAATCCAGCACTAAAGTTAATCAATATAAATGCAGTTTGCAGAACCATTCTACACTAAACGATTGTTCAACCCTTTCAGATTATGAATTCACAAGTATCAAAATGAGTCATTTCTTGTGAAATTGTAGTAAAAGAAGAAATATTCGTATGTATATGCAGACCCATTGAGCATATATGACTATAGGCTGTAGTGGAGGATAAAATTAATTAACCTTATCGATGTTCACAAACTGAATTTGTCAAATAGTGGGTAGAATAGAAATAAATAGATAAATTTATGTTTGTGCCGATGATGTTAAACAGACTGGAAGTTTATTAGATGCATAAACACAATAATTAATTAAAGCGAACGAAACTACATTGTTGTCACTTACAAAGCATGAGATGTCAAGCTAAATAACGAATTCATTTCTAATTTCAATTGATGAGATCATTAAAAAGTACAATCTCCTTATCCTAGACATTCGGCGTCCAACCATCATGATACTATTCGTTCAAATTTCGTCAAAATTTCTGATCAGATTTAATTACGAATGTCGATTACCGTAAAATACAAACAATTATCAGTCTAATGTTGTAAAGATTATTGAATTCCATTGAAATCATGAAGTTATCTAAGTTAAATCACTCGTATGGGACTTCTCAGCAGTGCAGGATCGTGGATGTGCATTACTGAGAAGTCCCACACCAGGACGAAATGACCGTTCAGTGCTTCAATGGTGATGTAACTTATATCACTTCATAGTTTAATAACAAACAGTTAGAAATAATAAAGATCTTACTATTTGAATAATATGATGGCTACTGTCACTTACAATCTCAGGCTAAACCTCTTTGATATTTTAAACTGCAGGCAGGTGCTGTTTTCGATATTTAGCTTAAATATTTATATCGCAATGTTTGACCATATCACAATTCCTATTATTGATATTAACAACTCTACAATCCAAGAATGTATAAATCTTAACAGTTAAATTGTATCAGTTTTAACAACTAAGAAACTATTACACAAATCTACATATATTCATTGAACCAGAAATCCATATTAGGTGAGCTTAACCTGTTCAAAAAACCATAAAAAATCATAGTGATAGGTTGCATTCTATTCGAGACCTGTAGGTCGGATCCATTTTGGATCCAATGAGGGCGAAATCGGAGTTCTAAATTCATTCTCAATCCTATATATATATATATATATATATATATATATATATATATATATATATATATATATATATATATATATATATATTTGTACATGAAGAATACCTACAAATAGTCCTGAGTTGTCCACTCAAGGTTTCCATATGTTAACAGTGACTGATCAACATTTAAACCAGAAGACATAACAACCGTAAAAAAGTGCAATAACGTTTGGGATTAATTAATAGCAAATAAATGGTATATATATATATATATATATAACTTACAAAAATCAATCTTTTCATGACAGATGATTTAGATCGTGATTCCAGATTCCTAAAAGCTATATCCGTTTTTTCCCCAGTTTCAGCCATGAATACTTGTCAAAATTCTGATTTGATTTTTATGCATATAAAAGTAATAAGCTTTTAAGATTTATTTAAAAATATATTCCCTAGTTTAATGATCCACAAAAGTCAATTCTTATAGTTACATTGACAAATCTATTTAGATTAAAGTTATAGAAACTCTGTAACCCATATATATGTACTGCACTCCACTACGATCCATCACTCCCACCCCATATACTCGTCTTTATCATTGTTGTCATGGTAATAATGATATTTACATATATTTAACGGGTGTGCCATACACAGGCGTGGTTAGGCAATTTATTCATCTTATTGATTTTTATTTCCTTATTTTTTTTTTCGAGTATTTTCCTTACTTCGAGATAAATAATAATCGGATGTTAGGCTACTGGTTAATAAAAAGTTTATTTTTCAGTTTATTATTCCCCAATCTTTCAATGTTTTTTATTCACTAGTTGATTTTTTTCGCAGCAAATACAATCAGATATAATGATAATAGAAACACTGACGTAATGATTTCATGATTCTGTCACATGTGTATCTAAAAAAAAATTTAAATTGTAATGTATCAAATATGGTCTACACCTAGACAGGAGAACTAACGATTCAATCACATAGTTGTAGAATATGCAAAATGAGCTATTGAGATTATGAACCAATTGAAGTTAGAAAACTATTGAAAACCTGGAAGTATATTGGATGATGGTTTCACCTTACTATGCTACCCTTCAATAATATGCGACCATAGTTCTTCAATTGGAGACTAACCTAAGATGTGTGGCCGCAAATTTTCATAAATAATCTCCTACATAGGATCAAATGGCCATCCAGTTCATCCAGGTATTCAATGGTTGTTTAATTGATATTGGTTTTTGATCTCGTCCTCTCATCATCATTCATCACAACTTTATACTGATAGAATTAATTGATTTATCTTGATTTTGTTTTAAATAATAAACATAAATAGATGTATGGGAAAACACTTAGTGTGTCACACTACTACTTACTTATAATTAATCTATTCAACAGCCTTCATGTAGTCCAAAGATTTATAAGATAACCAAATGTTGAAGTATAGTAATCTTCTATGGAAATAGGAATCTCCCTGTTTATAAGCTTTTCTTAATATAGAGACATAGTTCTTCATATATTTTAGGTTGATTATTTGTAAATACTTATCTTCCATTGTATATGTGAATAGTTGCTAAATGAACTTGTCACTTATTGAGTATAATAATGTCATTTTATTTGTCTATGTAAAAAAAGAAATAACCCCCACTATATATGTACTTAATAAGAAGAAACTGAATGAAATAACCACACATTGAATATAATACTGGTTATCATGATTACGTAACACAACAGCTTACACACTAGTATTGTATTGGAGTCATAATCGAAATATCATCTGGTTGTCAGTAAATTTAACTAGCAAACCTCAATATGATGACAAATCTATTAACATTTATTCTACCGTTAGCCATTATCAAAATATATGTAAACCATATAACTGGATTCGATATGTAGGTATCCGCTAAATATGAGACTATATAGGAACAGTGGCTGAACAAGTTTAGTTGTGAATACAAGCAAACTTATATAATGAGATGGTGGAAAAGATTTGTAGCTGAGGTGGATGATTTTGATGGAGTTTTGTTCTCTGAGCTGGATGGTTTGGTCGTGGAGCTTTCATCGTTCTTCTCAACGACATCATCAGCACAAACTTCAGATAGAGGTGAAGTGTTCGAATTTCTCCATTTGCGTTTCACAGCTTGTTCTGTACACCTCGATGTTGATCGGTTGATTGGTCAATAAGAACCAATCAACATCGAGGTGTACAGAACAAGCTGTGAAGCGCAAATGGAGAAATTCGAACACTTCACCTCTATCTGAAGTTTGTGCTGATGATGTCGTTGAGAAGAACGATGAAAGCTCCACGACCAAACCATCCAGCTTGGAGAACAAAACTCCATCAAAAATTAATATAATCTTAAAGAATAATAAGAAACATATTCACTGATAGCAATCGTCATAAGAAAAATTATCAGATTAGATTATTAGGACGATCGGACAGAGATTTTGTGCAGTTACTAAATAGTTTATCTCATTAGCTACAATAAGCGAAATAGCCAGTGAAAAATAGGGAGGAGAATCTTAATAAATACTTTCATTGTTGTAGATTAAATCCAGAATAATCATGTTTTGTGGCAAACACGAATCGATTTCAAGTGAACAACAGGATTATTGATAACCATAAACTATGTTATAGTTCAATCAATCAATTTTTTTAAAATACAATAGTGTTTTTGGACGAAATTATAGATGCATATTGTCTTTGAAATATATTGAGAATCATAATATGTGCGTGTAATCTACGACCATAATAAATGTTTGACACCGATCAAGTGAACTGTGACCACTGAGTTATTTTAGGTGAAACTGAGAATAGAACTGGTTAACTACTGTGTAATAGTTAATGTAACTTTGTTTAAACTTCAGTGCTTAAAGTTAGACAAAAGCGAAATTGGTTAGGAAACTGCAATCAGTCAGCATTTATATCATTATTTTACATGAACATGATTTCAATTTTCTATGTTTTAATTTTAATTATTGCATAAAATATATACTACTTTTAAGTAGTTAGAAACAACTTACATGATAAATAAGAAGGTATTAGGTAAATAATAACAAATCTATTTAACTCCTGTTTTAAAATATGTTGAACAAGTGTGAGAACTTAGTGAGACTGAACAATTCACTAAAGTTCTCAAAGCATTTTCCTTTTTAAGTGTAATCAAAAGTAAAAATTTCATTTTCTTGAATGCTTATTTATTTTGCTTTGTAGTTAGTCAGGAGCTTGGTCAATAGAATTTGTTCTGCAATAAGATTGTATGAGTATGAACAATTCAGTTCTATCGAAAATTAATTGTTATTCAGATGACTTGGCGTTTGATATTCCATTAATTGATATATTCGTAATTCATTAACAATAGAAATACCTGCATTTGTAATTTTCGACAAAAACCATTATTTTATTGAAACGAATGTAAATGTATCGTTTTCAATCTGGTGTTTCTTGTATTTAAACAGTATCCTAAAGAGAATTAAAGCCAAGGAAGGATGAGTGGTTGAAATTGAATAAAAAAATTTATGCACTTCTAAGGCATTGACGACTCACTACTTCAAACCCGAACTCTACATGCAAAAGCGATATATTTCAACCTCACATCCTTCCTTAGTCTTAATTCCCTTCTGTGCATTGTTCCAATACCAGTACCAATAAAAACTATTACTTATTGAATTTAATTTTATCATTTAATTTAATTAAATGTGTTTATCTTTGTTTTTTTTTCTTTTTAAGTAGGATAAACTGATCGATGCTAAGATTATCAGTTTCTGATTTGTTTTCTTTTTGTTATTGTTTACGTATATATGGAATTATTTACATAATTGAAAATGAATCGGTAACAAAACGTGAATATTTATTAATTCTTTATTATATTTATTTAAGTCTAGAGATTTGATTACTATGGAAATTAGTTCTTTATTCAGTTTAACTTATCTTAGTTTAAAGAAATAAGATTTATTTTTCTTTTATGATATATTGTAGTGAAAAAGAACACAAGTGGGGACAATCCAATATATTTGAGCACAAAATTACAGAGCATCTCAATAAAATCTGAGAACCATATAGGTAATAGTTAATAGGCAAAATATCAATCCAACATCTCAAACGTGACTGTTCCTCTTATAAATATCAGTTCATTGTCTCAGATTTTCATTGTTCATGCATTTTCATACACTAATTGCATTTCTATTCTCGTTCTTTCCTTATCGATCTTCTAATGAAATACATTCTATGCCTGATCACTGTTATATACTACTTATATGGATATAAGTAACGCACACCACAATACTATTTTAGAACAATATGTAGATCCTTTAAAAAAAACTCAAAAATCAAATAATAATCTGTTTAGAGATGTTTATAGAATAAAATCGATAGAGAGAACATTTTTTTAGAAGTCAATATGGTATAGAACTTTAAAGGACTAAAGGTAACAAATCGGATGTGAACCTTTGACGGCAGTCAGTCTGTTATGTTGATAAAATATAACATTGAATGCGTGCGAACTAATTGATTTTCAGGTTGCTATCTTTCTATTCCTTTACATACATTATATGAGTCAAATATTTAATATTAACAAAAAAAAACCTAATTCATTGAGATAACATTAGAGAGTTTGTATTCTAACAATAACCAGAGCTTTTCTGAACAATAAAAATAGAGATTAAACAAAGGGGTAGAGTTTAAAGTGTATAAAAGTGAGTAATTATTATGTTAAATTTATTTCTGTGATCTTGGTTTATGTATATATGGGAGAGGATTTTGTAATATAATTCAATACTTTTAGTAATGTTGAATTCTTTGAGAATGATAGTTTACCTTCCAAGCTTTCATTATGATTCCGGATGTTGATTTCATTACATAATTTAAATAAACTTAGTTTTAACTAATCAATGAATGCCACCTTCGTTTACAAGTACAAAGGCATAAATTAATAACGAATCAATACTATAGGTATCATTACTATGGTTTCATTTGATAATTTCGAATAAATTGAGCATTGAATAGATTGTTATAAATAAATAATATATTTGTAATATCTCAGTGAGTAGAAAAATTAAATTTTCTGACGTTTCGTGACTTATTGTAAGCCACTTCTTCAGTACTACGTGTTTTCATATATATGTATATATATATATATATATATATATATATATATATATATATATATATATATATATATCAATGCACAAAGACAATTAAGGTTATAACTTTGACCAAAAACATTTCTAAAGTATGGGACTCAAATAAATACATCAAACAGTAGACATATTAACATACATCCAATCAATCAACCTATGAGGATATAAACACAGTAAACTAAAATCTAATGATATAAAAGTCATTAGGACGGAATGAAACAACTTTTCAAACT